TCCTGGTATTCCGAGGTAATACTTTCAATCTCCTAGCACCAAACCCCTACAGAGCAGAGCATCCAGGAGGTTAGGCACAGTTACCATGCTGTACCATGGTAGGTTCAAGAATCAGCTATCTGCAGAGCAAATGCTGGAGTGTTTGTGCAATACGAGAGATTTAGTCTGTAGAGATTTTTGATCTCAAGACAGGTGCTGGTCACCATACCCTGAATCTTCCCTAGAAACCCTTTCCCAAAGCCAGGCTTTGAGGAATTATACTCTACTATGAAGAGTTCAGGCTACTAATCTAAATGGGCTGTGAGCTGACTATCCAGTAGCAAGGATTGCCAGCATCCACAGGGAGGGAGCTCGCTGGGACTCTCCCTTTCACCTCATTCCTCCCAAGGGAAGACCCGTTTCTACTGTGGAGCTGGGGTGGCAGAGGCTGGGGTACTTTGCTTCTATTGCTATGGTTCCAGGTCTCTGAATTTGACTGGGCTCTGGCCTCTGTTGAGAGGATTCCCAGTGCTTTCTCTTCGCCATCAGCCTCTAAATGCAACTCTGCACAGATCGCTCTGCTTGTTCTTTGTAGACGGGGGGTGGGGGGGGAATACTGGCAGCTTCTTTTTATTCTATTTATTTTTAAAGATTTATTTATTTTATGTTCATTAGTATTTTGTCTGTGTGACAGCGTTAGGTCCCTTGGAACTTGAGCTATAGACAGTTGTGAGCTGCCATGTGGGTGCTGGGAATTGAACCCAGGTCCTCTGAAAGAACAGCCAGTGCCCTTCACTGCTGATGCATCTCTCTAGCTCCCTTAGTTTTTTTAAATAAGAAACTCTTACTTTTGGAAAGATTTATTAACTTATTTTTTTAAATGTATGCCTCTGTGTGCACCTATGTGAGTTTATGTGCCTGTAGAGACCGAAAGGCAAAGACGCTATGGAACTGGAGTTACAGCAAGTTGCCTGATGTATGTTCAGAGAACCAAACCCAGGTCCTTTACAAGAGCATTAATTGCTCTTAACCTCTGAGCTATTTTTCCTTCCCCATGTGTTAAGCACATCTATTCAGCTATCTTGAATACTGAGAGAGTGCTGGTGTTTGTTGCCATTCTCCCCTTGTAGGTCAGCTGAATTATTTGAATCTATTAGAAATAAAGTAACTATAAACAGTTGCATTTTTTGGTTAAATGTAAGTCTTCATTGACTTAGTCCCTTAAGGTAGATGCTTAAAGATATAATCGCTGGATCATATCTTGGAAACAAGGCAAAAATGTGAAGATATTGACAAACTGTTTCCAGTGTGGCTGTACCATTTTGCACTCCCACTGGCAATGGCTCGCATCTTTGCCAGCGCATGGCATCGCCTCTCTGCTCCATTTGAGATGAGAGGTATGTGGTCATATTTCATTGTGGCTTTAATTTACAGTTTTCTAATGGCTAGTGATGAACAGAGCTTGTTTGACTTCTGTACAATTTCTGAAATATGAAAGGTGTCTTCATTTCTTCTGCTTACGTTGATTGCCTTACCACTGTTTTATTTATTTGTTTATTTATTATTTGTTTGTTTGTTTGCTTGCTTGCTTTTCGAGACAGGGTTTCTCTGTGTAGCCCTGGCTGTCCTGGAACTCAATCTGTAGACCAGGGTGGCCTCAAACTCAGAAATTTGCCTGCCTCTGCCTCCCAAGTGCAACCACTGTTGAAGTTTAAGAAACGTATTTATTCTTTTATTACTCTTAGTTATGTGTGTGGAGAGGAGTGGGTGGGCTTATGCACATGGGTATAGGGCCCACAGAGGTCAGAAAAGGGCATCAGATCCCCTGGAGCTGGAGTTCTGAGCCACCTGATGAACTGAGCTCTGGCCTCTCCAAGCAGCACTTGCTCTGAAACCACTGAGCTACCCTCTCTAACCCCATCCTGAGGGTTCTACGTGTGTTCTTGATGCTGACTTCACTTTAGCACTGTGACTATTCTTAGTTTAGAGGATATCCAGGTTATTGAGTCTTTATTCTATGGATCATACTTTTGAGAGTAAATATAAGTACTGTGCCAACTCAATACTAAAGTCTTTTTCCTATTTTCCCCATATTCATGTGTGTGTGTACGTGTGTGTACATGTATGTGTGTGTCTCTTTGTATGTATGTGTGTGAGTGTATTGTGTGTGTGTATGTATGTGTGTATCTCTCTGTCTCTGTCTCTCTCTTCTCTCTCTGTCTCTGTGTGTGTGACATAAGATTTAAGTTGAAGTCTACTGGTGATAGTGGGATATTTTCCCATGGGAGACTCAGTTACTTTGGCTCCAATTGTTGAAAATATGTTGTTAGATGACATATGACTCTCATTAGTTGAAATTATTTTCAGAGTTCAGTTTTCTTTATCTTAAGAAACAAGGGCTTTTAACTGGGCCCTGCATTTAAGCTACACTTCTAGAAGTTCTGGGATCTCAGAAGCCAAGCTTAGGAAAGGGTAGAGAGTTTCTGAGGTTCCCTTTTGCAGCAACTTGCTAGGATACATAAGAGGTCAATGTGAGAAGCCACACTTCCCCTTACATGTTAACATGGAGATCTCTCTTAGGCTCCAAGGGTGAGGCCACACTTCCCCTTACATGTTAACATGGAGATCTCTCTTAGGCTCCAAGGGTGAAGCCACACTTCCTCTTACATGTTAACATGGAGATCTCTCTTAGGCTCCAAGGGTGAAGCCACACCTCCTTACATGTTAACATGGAGATCTCTCTTAGGCTCCAAGGGTTATTTACAGGACACACTCATCATCCTACCATTTTAAAAAATAAATTAGGATAGGCTCTGTGTGGCTAATTCACGTATTCTCTGTGGATCACATTTTAGGCTACATGTCAGAGACTGAAGTTAGATATTAAATCTTTACAGTGGAACCACCCATTCCATAAAGTCATACACCTTGTCTCAAAGGCACAACAGGGACCAAATAACATAGAGAATGTAGTCCAATCTAAAGATTTACAGAAAACAATACTTTCTCACTATCCACTTGAATGGTTTGCCAGTTTTTTTTTCAAGGTATGCATAACAGCTTGTAGTTCATTCACAAGGAGTGCTTTTAATAGCTTTCTGAGATAAACAACTCAGCATACATTGTTATGCCTGCCTTATCTGTTCTTCGTTGGTTTTCTAAGACAGGGTTTCTCTGTGTAGCCCTGGCTGTCCTAGAACTCACTATGTAGACCAAGCTGAACTCAGAGATCTGTATGCCTGTCTTCAAAAACAAGCAACTGAGGCTCTGCCTGAGTGACCTGCTCAGTAGTATAACCAGCAAATGGCAAGTAGAATTCATGGAGTTTTATCAAAAAGTTGGAGTAGAAAAGATAGCTTTTTATCTGAGGAATCGGCTAACAACAAACTCAAATAGAAATGAAGGTTTTTCAGTTACATAGAGTTAATTGAAATTATGGGTTTTTTTGAAAAAGCATGTTACATTTCCAAATATTCCCTGTTCAAATGGCAATTGTTAATAAAAGCTTGGCTAGAACAGACTTTGATTTCTGAAACCTATTGGGTGCTCACTAATTTCTATTCCTGGAAAATACGTTTGTTTACGTCATAGTATATCACCTACTTTTTTCCATTAGTGAACAAATTGTGAGCTTCCGTATCAAGTCAGACTCAAACATATTTGTGAGGACAGGTAGACTTAATGCTTTTATATAATTGGTTTTTAGCTATATTTCAAGAGATGGACAGCTTACATTTAACTGCATTTCTATGACAGTGTGATGAATGAACTTTCAACAGAGCATGCAAATACTCAGGGAAACAACCTTACGGTATTAATAATTGGTTTTTTAAAAAAGACTTCTAGAGTGCCAAAAATGTAAGGAAAACTGCATTCCCAAGTCCTTAGCCTATGATACCATGTGAGTGAGCTGGAGGTTTCTAGCACTTGTGTCTCATTGGTGGGAGCCTAGAGAGTTGCAAGACAGCAGGACGATGAGGAACATCATTGTCAGCTAGAGACTCAGCATGCGTATAACCCTTACTCTTCCTTTGATTGTGGAGATGTGTGTGGCTTTTTCTTGCTGACTTATTCTATTTCTGTGACTACACAGAAAGTGTAACCTCTACAGGACCAGCTGTCAGAAATATATGTGCTTTCTAAAGGGTGTTGATTTGGAAGGAGAAAATGTTGCCACCTTGGAAATTCCAGGTCACGTTCACCAATGCAGTGAGCTTCCCCATCTTGCACCTTGTCTGCTTCAGTCTTCCTGGAATCACAGTAATGGATTGGGTGGGGCTGGTTGTCATGGATACAGGGACAAAAGGCATCAAAGATGTAGCAGGTGGAAGCCAGAGTCTTAAGCATGTTGCCGTACATTCTGAACTTGGAAGAAATGTTCCAGAGCATTCATTGCACCTGATTGTCTGGCTTGATATCCATCTGGCTTGTAGCCTGTCTTTCCTTAAAATAAAGTGACAGAGTGAGTCTTGTGGTACAAGATACTTATTAGATGTTCTAATGTTCACAGTGTTCAGCATCCACCCACACCTCTGCTTCTTAGTTGTACTGCACATCATACAGCCTGAAAGAATTCTGATCTTAGACCCTGGACCCCTGACTACTTCACACTATAGAAGCAAGAGTGGACTGATACTTTCTAGTATTTTTTTTAGAACCTTTGCATATAAAACAAACGTACATTTGCTTTCCCTTTATTTCTATTCCCTGTTCCAAACAAGGCATAGTTTGATGCTTATTATACTGAAATTTTGTGCAGAAGCAAGTTCTACAAACAAATTCTAGATTTAAAGAACAATCGTGGTAAGAAAGCATTGCTGTAGAGAATTATGCAAGAGCTATCCACTCCCCTTACTGCTAGCATACACAAAACCATCCAAAGAAAGCTCTGTGAGTCTGAGTCATTACCACCAGGGGTCATCTCAGTAATTTCTTTGTCCCTCTGGCAATGTGGAGCTCTTCCTCAGACTCTTGTGCTCTGAGTTTTAACAGCAAGCTCATCTTTATGTCTGTCCTTGCAGATGGCGGTTAATGATTGCTTCAGACTAACCTATCCCCACAATCCCCACCCAGGAGACTTGATTGAAGTGTTCCGTCCTTGCTATCAGCACTGGGCACTGTACTTGGGTGATGGCTACGTTATCAACATTGTACCTGTAGGTAAGATTTGTTTCCAGGGCACCTGGGAGCTTTTAAGTTGTTTTGTATTTAGAAGGGAGCACAGATAAAATCAGAAAGCAGATAAAATGCAGAAACTAAATCCCACTAATTTGGAAAATGATATTCAAAGACCAAAGCATCATTAAAAGGATTTCACAGACTAAATAACATTAAAATTAAAAATCTCTATTTAAAAAAATTCTAATTACAAATAAATGACTAACTGAGGAAGACATTGGCCCCAAACATGGCTAAGCTCTATGTCCTTATGTCTCACACAAGTGGGTGATTTTAATTAATTCGGCAGCTACTCATAGGTTGTATAATATGTGATGAATGTTACTCTCGGTGTTGTGGCTACACAGCTATATAGATATCTACACAGTGGTACTTATACTCTCACAGACAGTGGGGGTGAAGAAGAGCAAATTATCAGACATGTTAGGAAAGATGTAGAAAATCCAAGTTAGGAAGGTGGTCTGTGAAGCTCTGGATCTAGGGAGGTAGGAGTGGGGAAGGGGAGAGGGGGCTGCTACAATTAGGGCAGTTCTGCAAGGAAGCAGCATCGGAAGTAAGACTTTAAAGGCATGAGAAAACTAGTTCCATTGTACCTGGGAAACTGGCATCTCAAAGAAGAGACTGCAAAAGCCAAGAACGCAAGCCACAAAGGGGGAAGTTTGAAAAGAGTTGGCAAAGGAAAAGAATAGACATTTCAACTTTATATTCACCTAAAGGTTATAGACTAAGACACTGACTGATTTCCTACCCATCTCATTAGCAAAGGATAGAATGATAGCACTCACTGTGGATAGAGACAGGGGAAATTAATACAAGGATATGGTTGACAGAAATAGAAACTGATAATGCCATTCACAAAACCAGTTTCACAGTATGTGTTAAGAGTTTTAAAAGATTTCTTATGCTCTGCATCTAATTTTGCTTTCAGGAGTCTGGGGAAACATTTAAAAATGTGGACAAATTTCATTTCTAATGGTTTAAGAAAACGAGACAATGGCTTAATTTTCAACAGGGCAGGGGAGCTGGTTAAGCACATTATGATTTAGCCACTGGGTATGAGGTATCTGTGTCTGTTAGAATCCTCCAGTTGTATACAGCAGGAATAAAGCAAACAAGCAAAAAGACAACTCCATGCTTACACCAGAAAGGGTTAAGCTGGCCTTGGACAGCTCCAGGGTTAGGAATGCCGTCACATCAGTCTTCTGACTCACAAGTGTCTTCTCTCTCCTGCCTGTCGTTGTCATTCTCTGACTGTGGAAGGAAACAGGGACAGTTCACAAGCTGAGGCTCCATTCTTACAGTTCTGTGACTCATCAGGAAAGGGCTAATCTTCTCTCTCTATGTGCTGAAGTTTAGAAATCATGGAGAATGACGCTAAATTGGCCCATTGTGAGCCACAACTCCATTTCTGGAGAATAAGATGTAACACAGCGATTGGCTCTAGCAGGCATTTTGGGGAAGAAACAGGCAATTGTGGAACTATAATAATATAAAGCAACTATAATAGCAATTTAAAGAGCATATTTTTGGACATGTTTAACTATTTGGGAGATGGTCTTAATATAATATTTTAAAATTTCTAAAGTGTTATATGTGACATAAAACTTCACTTAAAAGGAATATTACATACATCAGTGTATACAACATAAGTTCCTGTGTACTTCCAGTGTCTATAATATAAACTGATGAATGTTGCTGTTCTGTTGAAGAGACCGAGGTAGAAAGAATGGAAATATTTCAATTTTAGTCATAACTGAAAGAGAAATTGACATGTCAGTTATGTAGAGTCCCTTCCTCTTAGTAGTTATAGGAATATGATGGCCATGCACAGAAAATAGACACGTGTGGAGAGAGAGACTAAGTCCTGGAATATGCCAAGTCACAAGGAGTCATGGTACTGATATATCAGGCCCAGATACAAAGGGTCCTGGCCATCTATTCAATGATTACCAACAGAGTTATCTCAAGTGAAGAGAGAGACTCAAAGGATTTTTCAGGCAGGAAAAACATTAAATGGGGCCCTGTCTGTGTTTTGCCTACCGAAGTTAGCTTCAGGTTTAGGATATTAGTTTGCTGGCCAGAGGACATGACAGAAGAAAAGCAGGATCTTAGGTGCTTTACAGCAGGAACTGTAGGCTTACATTAAAGCCCAGGGAAGAGCAGTGTATGAAGAAGCAGTAAGTACAGCTAGATGGTAGAATCATAACACATTTCTCCTAATCCCTAAGATATCCATTTGCAAGAGTTCAGATGCTATGAAGGAGCAGGTGCAATAGGAAAATTGGTCAATAATCTTAACCCATAGTTCGCATCAGAATTTCTTCTTTTGTGTTGAATGTTTTATGAATGGAGACAAACTTATAATGACATATCCATCATGGGTTTGCTAGAAATGTGTGCAAAAATCTCTCCTAATGCCAATTGTTAAAAGCCTTACTTCTCAAGGACAGGCAGAGAATTTCATGCAACTTGTTTTCTCTCTCATATAATACTGTAATTGAGAACACAATGTGTGGATAAGATCCAGCACTTTTAGTTTATTGCATAAGGAGAAGAGACCAATCTAAGTTCCCTAGCATCTCTAGCATTCAGTCCTAGATGGCATTAGTACTCTGTGGACCAGATCGCTAAGCCTCACCAACCAACATTCTCATTACAGATGGCATTCGCTCATCATTTACAAGCGCCAAGTCTGTGTTCAGCACAAAGGCCTTGGTGAAAATGCAGCTTCTGAAGGATGTTGTGGGAAATGACACATACAGAATAAATAACAAGTATGACACAACATACCCTCCTCTCCCTGTGGAGGAAGTGATACAACGGTCAGAGTTCGCTATTGGGCAGGAAGTAGCCTATGACTTGCTGGTCAACAACTGTGAGCATTTTGTGACCTTGCTCCGCTATGGAGAAGGAGTGTCAGAGCAGGTGAGTTTTCTTTAGAAGGTTCTAGAAGTTTCCCCCTTTGGTAAAATCCTATCTGTCACGATGAAGGTTTTGCGCTTCAACCAAAATGTTAAGAACAAGAAAAGTTGGAAACACTGAAGGGCAGAGAAGGAGGCTGTTAAAAATACAGTAAGTTAAAGATCTAACAGACTGACACTTGGACATCCTGAAATGTGTACTGGAAGGGGACTTGAGGCAGCATCAAGTCCATAGCTTCCTGTCAGCCTTACTGACTCTACTAATCACAGTATTCAATACTCCCCAATTCAGCAACCTCAAAACAACCACTCCATGAACTGAATAATGTAGCAAATGGGTTAATTAGTAGATTCTTTTCCAGTAGGAAATAATGGCCAACCAATGACATGTCTTGAAGGATTGGTAAATTTTTCCTATTTCCTTACAATGCTACTTTTCAATGAAATGTCATATTTAATTCACTGGTCTTCTAAATGACTTTCCATATGTGGACTGACCAGTATATCTGATTCTTGTAATATTGCAATTTTGTAGATTTCCAGCACTATTTTGTAGTGTTATAGCAGATTCCCAATAAAGTGAATGTTTACCTGGCTTGCCTTTGCCTCGCCTGTTCTCAGGCCAGCGTGGCTCCATCTCTGGACTTAATCCAAAAAGTATTAAGGTGATGCAAGAGAATAAAATTGTTAGAGGTACATACAAAAGTTTTACTTTTTAAACTTAAAAAGCCCAGATAAATTTTTATTATTATTATTCATTTTATTTTATTTTATTTTTAGGAAGAACTCATTGGCAATGTGCTTCCATCAGGAAGTATATTAACAGTGAATGTTCATACACAGGAAATAACACACACACACACACACACACACACACACATGTTCTTTTTCTTTATGTTGACAACTAGTACTGTTAAGAAATGTGTTCTATCTGTGTAATTGGTAATTATCCAGCTAAGTAGCACATTATTTACACCCTAATAAAAAAACATCTGTTGTGCTTTGGATGTATAGTGTCCAACCAAAGTCTTGCATGGCATATTCCTCAGCTGATGGATGTTTTCAGACATAACTGGACTATAGGATCTTTGATAATGATTAAATTGTTCACTGCATTAGCAAATAATATTTATTCATTTAATTTCTGCAAATGGGGGGATAGTGATCAAAACAATATAAATTTCTGTTATATCAAATAAATCAATTTTCATATCTACTCTATAACATAGTATCTATGACTTACAAGCCTGTGCTTTTATTATAAATTTATTGTTTATTTTTATTTGTGTCAAGAAGGTAGCTGGCTCTCCGGGTTAGATACTCTTATAGGAACAACAAAGCCAAAAGAGATCAATCAACCAACTAACCAACTAAAAATCGAAACCAAAACAATAGCAGAATCAATGAAGGTGGTTGGAAGAAACCTGTGGAAGTGGTAGATATATGTGTGGTGTTGGTTAGGATGGCATTTTATGGATGTAAGCCCACCTCCAAATATATCAACTTGCACATATTAAATATCTACAGCATTTTGCTTGCTAATGATACTTCAATATTGTGAAAGTGTGGTTAAGTAAGAACAGATTACAATCCTCTCGCTTTGAATTTTATCTGAGATTTACCATCTTTTACTTTTCATACAAAGACTCAAAACCCATGAGGGGATCACGTCCTCAACCAATAGTGGAACTGGTCTCTATTGGATACTTGTGAAAATGGTGCACAAACATGCCTAGGAATCTTGTAAATGTATTTTTGAAAGTGGCGGTTTTTCTTTATTCTCAGCTAGCTTACAAATGAATGAGACTGAGGCTACCGTTTATTTAATAGAGCTTTACCATGCAATACCTGGGTAGTCATTGTTCTATTCTAATCCTCTAAACTAATCTGGTTACCTCGAAGCCCAAATGCCTGAGATACTTGGATTTGGATTCTGGCCCTCTGGGCTTCAAGTGTGTTCTCCCATGTCTCCAGGACCCCTTTCTCATGGCAAATCTCCCCTACCTTGGTCTCTCCCAGAATCCTTTCTATTCCCAGAAGTGAATATCTCTATTACCTAGTTACTGACTTTTTCCAGCTTTTATTGACAAGGCAGAGAATAAATGGTGAGCATTGTTTACACAAACTGAAGGCAGGAGACTCTTAACACAACCATTACAATGCCATGTTTGGATTGAAACCAGGTAATGGGATAAAGAAATCAGCATTTGAATAATACAAGGATAATACCCAGAGCACAAAAACATCATCCCTACAGAATCTACCAAGTGCCAGCACTCTGTTGGTGTGAGCTAACGTTCTTCCTTTATTCAGTGGCTGGATGACTTGGGGTACACCATATATGGTTTTTACTGTACCCTTGAGTTATTTTATAATTAAAAATTCAGAAGTATTTGAAGTCTCTTGATTAGCTATATTACAGATTTTGTCCTAAAAACATGTACTATGTTTTGGATATTCAGCATCTAGCCGAAGGCTCATATGGCATGTTCCACAGCTAGCAGCTATTGTGTTGAGAAGTAATCAGATCATGAAGCCTAATGCCTACAATCAATGGATTCATCTATTGATAGGTTCCTAATCTGATGACATTACTGGGAGGTGGTGTAAGCTAGATGGGACAGAATTGGAAGAAGCAGGTGGAGGGTGCCTCTGAAGTAGGTGTCTTGTCTCCACCTCTTCCGAAGTGTCTCTGATTCCCACAAGTCCTAAGGGAAGCTCCTTTCTTCCAGCACAACCTAACCTTACTCTTTAGTGACCTTGAACTTAGAGATGTTTCCTTGGGAAATGACAATGATTTGACTTTTTAAAAAATACATAGAAATGATTTAAAAGGTAGAAGGATTATGATCCTGTTTATGTTTCCTACTGCTGATTTTTATAGTGGCACAAAACCAACAGGCAATCTCTAGAGAAGTTTATAAAATTACAACATTGTCCCAACTGTAGAACAGACTCTCTGCTCTTTACATATGTATGTCCTCCTCCATCTGTGTCTTCTACTTTCTACTTTTCTAAAACATTGGTGAGCAAACTTTGAAAACTCATGTAAATCAAAGACCATAGTTCACATCAGAATTTCTTCTCTTATGCTGAATGTTTTATGAATGGAGATAAACTTATAATGACATATCCATCATTATACTAATAACTTCCCTGCACTGAAATTATTCTGTAAACTACCTAATCACATCCCTTCACCCTAGACCTGGACAACCTTATTGGATTCATTCTCATTGTATGCATCCCTTGTCTTTGTTGAATGTCTCAGTTGGAATCAGGTCATATGTCACCCTTTCATGTTGCCCTTTCATGTTGCCTGTATGCAAATTTGGTTTGTTTATTTTTCTATTGATTTTTAAGACTCCTGCGTATATTTTCAATGAGTCTTTTAACAAATTTTTCTTTTGTAAATATTTTATCTAGCCTGTGGCTTAATTTTTTAATACTATTCAAAGTTCTATAAGTAACATGTTTATTTTAATAGTTCAAATAAGCTACTAAAATTATCTATCTTTATATAAAATGGGCACATCCTTTAATAAGCCTGAACAAGGCAGTACATAAACACATCATGCCTGCTCTTCAGTGTGTTGCTGCAGTTGCTGAGCCTCAGAAAATAGACATTGATAAATTCTATAGTCGTATAGGACCTGCTATGTTGATGGTGTACATAGCCTCAGATTCAGCCTGTTTCACTGAGTTCTCACAGATCCTCAAAATGGGGCCTTTGCTGAGGCCTTCAAATATAAGATCTTGAAAAGCCTAAGTGTCCAAGGTCAGACTGGTGATTTTATAATCCTGAATAAGCCATGAGGTAAAAGTTCTGCCATTTTGAGATGTTCAAAGCCTGTAGGTCAGCTCCCACTATACATAACTCCAAGACATTGTCTGGTTTATATGAGATTTTGCTACCCTAAATGAGATGACATGAAAGAGCATTTGGTATTTGAGAAAGTACACATTATGGGGAGTCTTTACTAGAATAGTATTGCCCTTTGATCAAGTTGTTTATCCCTTCACTAAGCCTCACGTTTATGAGATTTCTCCAATTCAGGTTTCTAGAAGCTGAAAGATACCTAGTCACTTGTGCTCGCATCTTGCTAGGGGCCACCCCAACCCCAGGATCCTATCTTTTTTCTGGGGTTGGAACCCACAGTCATTTGACTCTATTTGCTGCCTTATTGAGTTTTCATGTTTTCGGTTCCTGCCCCATTTCCTTTGGTCAGACCTTCTCCATGGCTTCTGACCTTGCTCTTCATTATTCTTGGGAATTTTATGTGACAGTATTTCTTTGCCTCTTTTTTGTTTGTTTTTGATATGCATGAGCCAAGACCTCAGCATGGCCTCAGGTGGCAGTGCAGGCTACTCACATCAGGCTATTTCTTACTTGAGTTTCTAGTTCCTTCTTTCTTCATAGTTTACAAATCCACTTCTCTTTCTCTCCAACTTGCTACCACATACTTGTTCATTGTAGTATCATCAAGTGCGTCTCTGGGTGTCCTCGGTGTGCCTCTCACCTTTTGATATTCTTAGTGAATAATTTAGGAAGTGATTAGTAAACATTATTGGTAACATAAGCAGAAAACTACCAAATAAGTAAAAGTAAAATAACAGAAGAAAATAGGATTTGTAGGGTAAGGCCGGGTTGTCTGCATGATTTTTGTTTCCACTGGAAACATTTTTAGGTAATTAGAAAGAGGCAAAGTTCTAGGTTCATTCTGTTGTAATGACATCTTGAGGGAGAAAGAGTTAACTTACAGGTTGCAGTATGTCATTGGATGGCAGAGCAGAAGATCAAGCAGGTCCTACCCTACAGAGGCAGTCCTGTATGCTAATATTACACATTATCTCCAATCAAGGAACTCCCTTTGTCTTAGTTAGGGTTTTACTGCTGTGAACAGACACCATGACCAAGGCAACTCGCAGACAACATTTCATTGGGGCTGGCTTACGGGCTCAGAGGTTCAGTCCATTATCATCAAGGTGGAAGCATGGCAGCATCCAGGCAGGTATTGTGCAGTCAAAGCTGAGAGTTCTATATCTTTATCTGAAGGCTGCTAGGGGAAGACTGGCTTCCAGGCAGCTAGGATGAGGGTTTTTAAGCCCACCCCCACAGTGACACACCTACCCCAACAAGGCCACATCTACTCCAAAAAGGCCACACCTCCAAATAGTGCCACTCCCTGGGCTAGGCATACTCAAACCACCACACTCTTCACATCCAAGAAGTACAGCAAGGGCAAACTATTTGATTTCTGGCTCCATTGGCTGGTTTATACTTAGCTAGCTTTCTTATGCAACCCTGGACCACCTGCTCAGGAAATGGAACTACCCACAATGGGCTAGGCCCTTCTAAGTCAGTACCCCACCAACATGCCTACAGGGCAATCATTCAACTGATACTCCCTTCTCAGGTGATTCTAAGCTGTGTCAGGTTGGTGGTTAAAGCTGACTAGGAAAGGAAAGAAGTCACAGGTGTAGGCTTACTCCCTTCTGATTGCAGGCTCGCATAACAAAAGAAACACATGCTGTAAATGTATAGAGCAAATGCTCCTTCGACATGCCTCTGTCTTGCCAGTTGGCAATAGGGTAGCAGCAGTGACGGAGACAGTATAGCAGTTCAGAAATATGTAGGTAGAGGCTCCACAGTACAGGCTTATGAGTTATACAGAGGGAGCTTGCAACTGTGACCTTGGCTAGGTTAGACCAGTCTCCAGATATTTGACAAAAAGTGTTTGCTTTATTTGAAAGCCATGACTCTTGAATCCCAGAGATTCAATGTTGTCTTCTGAGTCTCTGATGACTCCAATATCCAAATATGACTTTTCAGTCATAACACTGCTCTCAAATCCATGAGGATACAAGGCAAATATTAGCTGAGTGCCATAAAAAACATGAATATTCATTAGCTACCCTTATCACAAGATGATGATTAATACTCTAATGGCTATGAATGTCTGAACTCTTTTATGGACAATTGAGTTTGGGAATGGCTTACTCTGTCTCTATGAAAACCAATTTGACATGATAGTTGACTAATATTGACTCTTCTTAAAGTGTACTGACTTGGTTTCCTGTGACAAAACACTGTCCAAAAGCAACTTAATGGTTAGAGTTATGGTTAATGTTAGGGTAAATAGAATGTTTATTTCATTTTATAGGAGACATTTCATCATTGCAAGAATCTAGGGTACAAAGTCACACAATAACCACAGAGGGCCGATGCTTAATGGCTTTGCTCTCCATGGCTCAATTGCCTTGCTTTCTTTTACAAGCTGGGACTTCCTGTGCATGAGTGGCACTATCCACAGTTGGCTGAGCCCTCCCACGTCAATCATTAACCAAGATGCCCTCCCCCCATATGCCCACAGGGCAATCTGATGGAGGCAATTCCTCCATTGATGTCCACTTTCCACAGGTGACTCAACTTTCAAGTTGACACAAACTGTCCAGCACATGTGCTTACTGTATCCTGCAAATAAGAGCTTATAGCTGCTTAGATTAGATCACAGATTATACTCCTGGACTTTCTGAGTAATAGGCATCCTTTAGTTAGAGAAATGTACACACACACACACACACACATACACACACCTTTAGTACAGGTCAAACTGTAGAGGCTACTAGAGGGAGAGCAAGCATCTATGAAGCGTTTACTTACATCTAGAAATCTTGCTGGTATGATGATCTTGGGCAATAGAACAATTTACTTGCAGTCTCCAGGTTTTGCAAAAGAGCACAGCACTCCCCCTCTCACCAGAAGATTATGATGTGCAACCAGGACCCATGTCCATGAGGAACTTAGACACTGCCAAGAGCTTTAATTTTCAGGAATAGAAAACTGTGTGTGTTTGTATGTTGTGTGAAATTATAAAAATTACAATTGTATTCATATCTTATTTTGACCTTGGACTTTAAAACACATTCATTGTACATTAAAATAGATCTTTGGTTAATGAAGCAAAGCAAAGCTGCAAGTCAAAACTGCCATCTTTAGAATAAGATGCATTTTTTTTCTTTGTTTCTTTCTTTGCTTTCTTTCTTTCTTTCTTTCTTTCTTTCTTTCTTTCTTTCTTTCTTTCTTTCTTTCTTTCTTTCTTTCTTTCTTGTTTCCTTTTAGGCCAACCGAGCAATCGGCACCATCGGGTTGGTGGCAGCTGGTATTGATGTCTTCACATTCCTCGGCTTGTTTTCCAAAAGACAAAGAACGGAATATTAGCAGTTTATTGAAGAGATTGGAATGAAGAAATTTGTGAGGAGAAAAAAATCCTGGGGTAAATACTTATTTTGAATGCATCATTATTGCTCGTGATCCCCATGATGGATGGCAGACTCTGTAATAAATTGCTTGCTGATTTTAATCTTATCGTTGAGCCAAGAAAAGTTTTTCCCCACTAGCAGGGATTTGCCGTGGCAGCTTGAACAAAACCCAATCACCTTTAGATCCAACCAGCTGAGGATCTTAACAAAGCCAAGACCACATTTTCTCTTCTACTGTAAATATTGTTTTCCTTTTCCCTAAGGATGGCTGTTTTGCCAGAGGTGTGGAGAGACAGTTGTCAGGGCCAACATCAAAATTCCTATTCCTTTCCTTGTCAGAAAAAAGAACATGAACATGTCCAGTATTTTGGATACATGGATATATATCTATGACATATCCAAATACTTAAAGATCTCTGAATGACAAAGCATTTGGGGGTACTGCCCCCATATTGCTGTACCTGTGTAGGTGGAGCATGTAAGAAGAGGGTGCAGGGCTTTTGTGTGTACATATACATGAAATTCTTATGAATGGTGTGCATGTGGATGGACAGCTTTGTGTGTCAGCCTTTGGTCTCCACCTTTTTTATTTTTATTTTTATTTTTATTTTACTTTTATAAAAAAATTTTAGAACAGGGTGTGTTATTCTTCACAGCTTATGGCAAGCTAGGTAGCCTGTGAGCTTCCAGAGCGTCTCCTGTCTCTGCCTCCATTTCATGGTACAAGTTCTGGAATTACAGATGTGTGCTAACAATCCAAGCTTCATATGGACTCTGAGGATCTGAGCTCAAGGCCTCATGCTTTATAAATGTATAAAATGCTTTATCCTCTGAGCCCCTCTCAGGTCTATCTCTCTCTTGTACTTTCAGACCCAGTGAGTTCAGGAATCAGTGTTGAACAATGGGCTGTGTTTCTATTGATTTAAATGGATCCTTCCAGATTGTATGGTAGCTCAGTGGTTTGACCTTTGAGCCTTGGCAAGCAATCATTAATATTGATGCAAAATGTTGTATTTATAACACAAAATTCCTCATCCCTTTAAAGATGTGATCTGTAAGTCGAGGAATCTCATTCTTTTACTCTTCCATTTTACTGATTATGCGTTGAATTAAACTACGTTTTAATGCCATTTCTGCAGAATTCTTGGTAGCAGCGGGTCAGGAAAGATGCAATGTAAGTCTTTCTACAAGCAGGTAGTGTAAAGGCATCATAGCATTGCCCTGCAAAACACACAGCCAGCCTGGCATCCTTTTGTGCCATTATCAAAAGCATGTCAGTCAAGAAGGAAACATGTTAGGAATAGAAAGTGATTGAGTATGGTAAAGTCAAGTGCACAGGGCTCAATGGAAACCTCCCACCTAGTAACCTGATTTGACCTTGGTTCCAGAAACTCCCTGATGACGGTGAGCAACAGAAGTATGTGCTGCCACTCCCAGCCCGGAGTCCCTCTGTTCTTTCTTTGCTTTTCCTACAGACCCTACTTGTTCTAACCCCCAAACTCATTCTTCAGTGCTTGGTCTTCTCAGAAAGCAAAAGGTTACTTTTATCCTGAATGCAGGTCTCTGTTCCCAAATAGTAAAGAATATGCAGTTTTCTAGAATCTCCTAAGGTAAGGACAGTTGTAGCCGCTGGGCTACTTTCTCCCACTGGTGTGCTGCCTTCTCAAGAAAATATATTTGCAGAGACCAAGCCAACTCACAGCAGGGCATTAGTCTCTGGCAGAAGTTTACCCTGGCCAGGAAAGATAATAGGATTGAGAACCAAATGCCTCTTATGGCTTCAAGTCAAAACTTTCTAGAGAACTCTTACATTTCCAGAAAAGAAGCAAGATGTTTAAAAAAATGTCAGAAATGCACTTTTAAATTCATGGGTTTACTTACTTATCAATGATGTGAGGCTTCAGCAGCCTTGGTTTTCCGTAAACATGGCCAACCAATTTACGAGTGTAGGATGGGCAGCTCTAAACACAGCTGGGGTTGTTTTCCTGCGGGTACTGAATACCCACACATTCAATGCAACTTGTACTTGAGTCAGCTATTTTTCCAACACTATGAACTATTGTCTGGGCATATTTTCAGCAATCAGTAATGGAGTCCAGCTCTATCATGTTTCAAGAAAATGGAATGTAAAGACCATCTGCATCAGGTGATAGGTTTTTGGTAATACTAGGAAAGAAATGTCTGTATTTTTATTGAATATGAACACATAACAAATAAAATATGCTATCTAAATGTCACAATATATCAACCGAATCTCTTCATTCTATGAGTCAAATTACTGAATAGGGCTGTCAGGTAAAAGGAGACCTTTGCCATGACAACTTCAAGGTTGCTGTATTATTTCTTTTAATGATAAGATAACATGCTTTTAAAGGCAGATTTATTTTCTTTTCTGTGTACACACACACACACACACACACAAAGACATGGCAGGAAGAGATGTCAGTCAGATCTTCCAGACCTGGAGCTATAAGAATCTGTTAGCTGTTCCTCAGCAGCGGTCAACTGCTCAAACCGTAAAATCTTAAAAAAAAAAAAAAAAAAGACTTTCAATTCTGTTGATTTTGCTGGCCTGGCTGCTTGTTAGTTTCTTCTTTCATTACTGTTATTAAATACTTGAGAGAAACAACTTAAAAAAGAGGGGTTTCCTTTGCTCACAGTGTTAGAGGGATTACAGTTCATTACTTGGGAGTGTTGTACATCTGGTCACACCGTGTCCACAGTCATGAAGTGAGAGACAGAGATGCTGGTTCTCAGAATCCTTTTTCATTCTTATTCCATCAGGGACCAGGTCCATGGATGTTACCATCAGCATTTTGGGCAAGTCTTCCTATCTCAGTAAAACCTTCCTAGAAACATCTTCACAGATATACCAGAGAAGTCTCTCTTACATGATTCTAAGTCTAATCGAGTTGACAATGAAAATTAAGTGTTACAGACAGTAAATTGGACAGTTTGAAAACAATCACTCTCTAAGCAGCTATGCATACAAAAAACCTTAAAGGCAAACATTTGTTTTCATAGGTGTGCACATTGGTGCTGTTGGTTTGAGTGACAGTGCTTATAATGTCATTTACAGTCATAGTTCCTAACAAGTTGAAAAGTAAAGAATTCAGCATGGTGAACCAATTGAGACTTATCGAGACTCCACACACTGTGCTGTTAGTCACATGGTTGCTATTCATGGCATTCAGTTGATAAGTTACCTATGACTGTGGAAGGTCTGTTGAATCAGCAGAATTAGGTTTAGTACTTCAAAGAAAATCTAGGATTAATGTCAAGTGTTTGAACTGGAAGTATTTCCTCTCCAGCTAACAGCAAGGGTGACACACATTAAAGGCGCTACACAAAGTGTGCACAGAACACATTGTGAAGGATGCATCCTGTTGTTGTTTTTAATAAACAGCCTTGATGATTTGAGTAATTAAAACAATAGAATCGGTTGCCTAGTAGCCTGGAGATTCTCAGTGTGGGTAAAACCATCATAGATCCTTTCTTAGAATTTGGCTTTAAGATGACCAATGAATGATGAGCTCAGAGAAGTTCTTAGAGTTAGAATTTGAACTTTTGTATATTGATAATCATAATGGAGGCAACATACTTTATAAAGTGAAAAACACATTTGAACAGTTTATTTCATTATTTTTGTCTATGCTGCACTGTTAGGTTCACTGGCCCCATACAATATACTTTTGGAATGTACAAAGTTGGTGTAGTTTGCATACATTTTAGCAGTGCCATGCCGGATTATAAAAGATTAGCACCAGTCTCTATTGTTCTCAGCTTCCACACCACTCTGCCTTCCTGTGTAGCTAGGGTGGAATTACTCATCTTATTTCTCTCATGAAGCCACACCAAAGATGCAATCCAGGAGGAATTTCATGATTCTGGCCAAATGTATGTACATGAATGTGCTTCACAAATTTATGTATGATAAAAGAATATATTCCTCAAAGTTTCAAATGCCAAATGCTACCTCAGCTTTTCTTCTCTTCTGATGGCCATACATCCAGTTTCACTGCATGAGGCCTGTCCATTTAGAAAAATATAATATGGATACAGGTTATTAAAATGGTGATCTAAGACATGCAGTTTTCTGTCCAGCTAGTGAAGGATACAATTAATGTTAGGTTCTCTGCTGCAAGGCTCGGTATGTCGAAGTGCATTGGATGCTTCGAAGGAGAGTGAGGGGTATGCAGTTTTCCACCTTTCTACAATGTTTAGTTTAGGGAACAAAGGGTGATGTTGGGGAACAGGCGTGACAGCAATTCAGATTACAGTCTGGTCCAAAAGTGCTGTTCTGAAGCTTGCCCTCCCAGCTTGAGCTTCCCTTTGAGGACTTCTTCTGGGCTTTCATAGGCTCTGTTGATGTAGAATCCATTTTTGCCATTGACTGCATAATCTGTCCTGTTTGTGGGAGGCCACGTCGGGTCTTCTGCCAGCTTTCTCTGCAAGATTCTATACTGACTTTTGGAGTAGAATCCAAATTCTTTCTTTATAAACAGCCAAAGCTCTCTATTTTGAAGGATGGCGTCCTGAAAAATCGAGAGAGATGATAGTGAAACTATTGTGCTTATGCAAGCAAGCCCCTTCCAGCTACCTAGCGCTGGAAGCCTAGGACCCTGAGCTTCCTCTCTACTGAGGTCAAGGTTGGTATTTTTTCCTGGAAGCTGAGATGTTTCCAGGCACAGAAACCTGCTAAAAACTTGAGACCTTTCACTTCTTCAGATTTTCTGGTAAAATCCTGGCTAGGTATTTACTTACAATTTTTCCACTAGGGACCCAAACTAACTTTGACAGACCACATATCAAGAAGATGAAACAAAAGGAAGAAGAAATGGGAAGAGATGGAGTGGGAGAGGAGAGAGAAAACAGAAACTATAAACTCAGTCCCAGTGCCAAAAACTGTTGCTTGAATGAATTAGTCTGAAGCAATCAAATGCATTTTTAAGATTTATTTTGGTTTATGCATATGTTTGTGGGGGCGGGGTATGTGTATATGCACATGTCTGCAAAGGCCAGAAGATATCAGATGAGCAGAACTTGGAATTACTCAAGGTGGTAAGTTGTCTGATTGGTGCTGGATACCAAATAGGGCCCTCTGAAAGAGCAACAACCACTCACAGTCACTGTGTCTCTCTAGTTCCTCAAAATTGTCTTCTTTCTGATGCATTTGATTTCCCTTTTATACTTTCCTTGTGCAAGTTTCACAAACAACAGTACAATCGATCTGTTTCTGCTTTGTACTTTCCTTTGTTTATGCTAGATTTTCTGTCATGTACAATTTTGTGTAATTATGTCTTATAAAATAGCTTATTGTAGTTGACATAAAGCTATAGTCATCTTATTATCTTTAAAGACTATGGCATTTCTTCAAATTGCAGCATAAGCATTGAAGTATGTTTGAATCATATCTTGCTGCTGTAGATACTATCATGAATCTCTTCCTACAAGTAGGATTAAAATTTTTCTATCTCATTTTGTGATATATTTAAAATTCGATGTAAAGGTGAAATTCCTGAATTAAAGAATATAAGAAATACACACACACACACACACACACACACACACACACACACACACACACTTACTTAGTTTGCTTGTTCCATTCTCCCAAAGGATTTGCTTATACTTCAAGAGTCATCTATTTTTTTCAACTCCTTTTAAAAAATACCATTCAAGCCTTTTTCTGTGTGTGTGAGTCATTCAATGGCACTCAGTAGAAGAGTAACACACTCATAAGAAGGCCTTCAAGGCTCACAGTAAAAGTGGCTTCCATTCTCTCCCAATTAGAGGAAGCCTCCTGAAGACGCCTTCAGTCTGTCTAGAGGTCTCCTTGTGCACCAGAGCTGCAGGGTCACCTGGCCTCACTTCTAGAGTACTGAAAACAGTAGGGAGCAAATATAGTGCCTCTCATGACAAGCACTGGAACTGAATTGAGTTTCACTTTCTATGAAGAAAGATACCAGGAATATTTCTCTGCAGCCTCAAAGAATGTTAAGCCATTCTCCACAGAACTTCTCTCAACGAGATCATGCGCAGTTTTAAAGAAAGTTTTACTAATCCTTTGTGGGGAGTGAAGTGGTCGCTCTAAACAATGAACGTATGTTGAGAATAAGACCCTGAATTTACATACCTACTTAAAAAATGATAGGAACCATATACTTTACCTCTACAAAGAAGGCCACGCAGAACTGGACAAAGGCTGCCACCAGAATTGAAATTCTCCATGACGTTGTGGTTGGGATGAACTGTTAAAAAAAAAAAAAAACTAGCACCATTATAGGTTGCACACTTAACATTTTGAAAAATCATTCCTGCTTGTTATTATTATTATCACTATTATTTAGAATTTCTGCATTTGCAATAACACAGAGGTTGGAAGGGTAGGCATTGGTTTTTCTACTTTGGAGATAGGAAAGCTGAAGATTGCCATCTCTTGTCCAAGTACTGATTCAAAGCCAGAATCTAAATTCAAATGGACCCTTCCTGGCCTGTGCTCCCTCAGGAGCTGATGGGCTCCTGATGGGCTGATGATAATTGTCAGGTCTGTCAGTAGAGCAGTGCAGCAGATGACATTTTGGAGCTCATGTGACCCTCTTCACTTATGCTTGGAAACCCAGGGAAGAGGACATTAAATAGAACCATTCGTCTTCAATTCTTACTGATTTCCGTTCTCCTAAAACAAAACTTACTTGGAATCCATTGCTTTTCTTTTTCCTCCTGCAAAACTAACTTCTGAGTAAAAATTATAAGTCATGACAAAAGATTAAAGTTGTTTTGACTAAGTATGATGTTTTGAACAAATGTTATTAGCCTCAAACATCTTCATGCAAGTCTAACAACCTGTACAACCTGTTCAAAGACTACAGACTAAACGTATCTGTTTATTAGATGTGGTAGCTACATCCACAGTGAGTGGGGAACTATACACCTAAATTTCTACCTTACAGAAAGTTAGACTGAATGTGTAGAAGCCTGAGATGTATAAGCACAGCATCCTCCAACCTGTAGTCTATGGCTCAGTGGTTCCCAACCTATGGGTCATGACCCTTTTGGAACACATATCTGATATCCTGCATGTCATGTATTTATATTAGGGTTCATAATAGAAGCAAAATTACAAGTATGAAGTAGTAACAAAATACTTTTATGGTGTGGGTCACAACATGAGGAACTGGGTTGAAGCTAGGAAGATTGAGACCTACTGCTCCAGCCATTCATTTCCAATTCTCATCCATATCCCAGGATGGGTTGTTTCAAGGCACTACTTGGTCATCTGTTTCCCCCGAACAGAGACAGCATCTCCCCAGTGTTGAAAGGCAGTACATTGGCTTTGGAGAAACTGGCTCATACTCAGGCCCACGCAGATCTCAGTGCCACTGTCACCACAGTGAAAAAGGCTCTTCTCCATTACCAGCTTGAGAGCAATCTCAGTTTGGAATTATTCTCTTGTATGGTTGACTTTTTTCACTTCCGAACTACTCAGCGCAGCATCATGCTCCTAAGCCAGGCACATTCTGAAGCTCTGTAACTCATGGGATATGGATGGATTGCCTGAGTTATCATTTCCTAACTATCTCTCCATTGCTGTGCTTTCCTTCCCTTGTTTAATTAATCTGCTTGAAATATCCTTCCAAAGAACCTTCACTGTCCCTTCGTTATTTTGGCAGAGACTACTAACCTTGTTGGCTGCCTTGGACGGTGCCTGCCTCCTCTAATCTTCTCTGTTCTTCATGCTCCACTGTACAGCACCTGCCTCTGTTTTAAATACTCTTCTATCTACTCAGTAATGCAAGCCTTGCTTTGAATTTCATCCCTGCCACCCCATGTTCTCTGCATTGCCAGAACCAAAGTCATTCTTGGAAACTCATAAGGCCCTCTGCCCTTTCTCCTGATACTGAGGAAGTTCTGCCCATCAGAACCAGCCTGACATAGCTAGATCTCAACTAGCAAGATCTAGACACTTACCAACCCATGTTCCTTCCATAAGATCCTGTGGAAGTCACAGTAACAATAAGAATTCCTCCCTATGTCCTTCCAGCTATATTTTTCCCTTCAAACATGGGCTGTATCAGTCACTCACATTACATCTCAGTGAAGAATGGCTAGTCTTCAAAAGAGAGCTACGGGCTTACAGCAAGATACTCCTTTCCTTTCTAGACATCTCCCACAAGACTTGTCCAAGAATAGCTTTAGTAACGTCCTAATGAATTTACTTTCAAACTAGTGGGACCAAATGATGGCCACTCAAATAAGACTCTCAATAGTCAATTCCTGGTATTGATAAGACTTGTCTAACACTTTTCTTTTGCAATTACATTTAAAGTGATTTTTGTTTTTTACTGATGTGTGTGTGTGTGTGTGTGTGTGTGTTGTAGGGGAACACAAATTCTACAAAACACATGTAGATGTCACAGGACAACTTATTCTTCTTCTTCTTCCATGTAGGTCCCAGGGACTGAACTTTGGTCATCAGGCTTGGTAACAGGCACATTTACCCAGTGTCTTTTTCCTGGTCACAAACAAAATTTTAGGCATGAACAGTATAAACATGCTAAAAGGATGACACCATTAATATGGAAGCATATGTGGAATGGAGAAATATTTTCTACAAAATAAAAGTTCATGATATTTAGTGGATTAGAGAGTATAGGGTCATGATTGACTTACAAACTGCTATTCAAGTACAGCTTTGGCACATCTGAATCATGACAGATGCGGACTCTACACCACTTACCTCCATTTTACGGTATATATCTTGAAAATCAGAAAACAGAATGAAAAGAGTGAGGCCCACAGCAGATGTCAGCAGAAGCGAGAATAAATCTGAAGAAACACCAAACATTATTTTCAGGTGCTAAGAGAATACTTCATAGAACTTGGCACACGTTAGCAATTAGTTCATGTTGGGCAAACACTAGATGAATCTTCAGATGTTTTAATAGATCATCATATGTTTTAAAATATGTCTTAATGTTTGTATGATAAAGGTGTTATTATATTTAAAAAAAAAATCTCTCCTCGTAAAGATGGAATCAAGCATGTTATAGAAACTTTCATAAGGGAATTCTCTTTACTGAGGGCATCTTGGGTGGAGAAATCCTGCCATGATTAGCCCATATGAATGGTTACCAGGGAATTCCTATACATGATCACCACCATCTAGTGAGACATGTATGTAGGGGGAGCATCCAGTCTTGACAGCATCTTAGTGTTCTGTTCCAGGAGAATGAGGTACAAGAACCTGCCGCTGACACTCTGAGCTTTCCAGTGTTAGGTCCATCAGCCTTTCTGAACTCTCTGTTTACATTCTGTCCCTTATCCTGGCTTCTGTGTTCTTAATTATTAAGTGCCCTGTGTAGGCAATATTCCTTCTGTCATGGTACATTCCATATCCCTCCAACTTAAGGGGCCCAATTCAAATACCACTCTTCTTCAAACTTCCGAATTCTCCCTACAAAGCTTATTCTGAAACATGTGATCTCGATTGCTCTATCAATGAGGCTTCTACGGCTGAGGAGTGACTATTCCCGGGGGCTTTGAGACTCTGATTTGGAAAGGGAAGTTACAAATGATAAATATGCAAAGTTTCTGGGCTCCCTCCTTCCCATATCCCCAGCTGCTTGACTTTGAGAACATAAACATCTCAGGATGAATTATGTCAACATCCCTGATTTTAACCTCCAAAAGCCCACCTGCCTCTGTGTCTGCCCAGCTGTCAGCAGATAGTGCCTCTCAAATGTTTTAGACTCAGGACCCAGTCACCACAAGACTTCACTCAGTTTACCATGACAGAGAAACTGTTTCTGAAGACACCAGAACTGCTGTCAGCTTTAAGTACCAGTACCCAACCTTAGCATTTCTCCACCCACTTTCAAAAGAATGAGAGTGGAGAAATGCTAAGGGTGGGTACTTGCTTAGAAAGGGTGAGGCAGAGGTGGCCGAGAGAGGGAAAGAGAGAGGAGGTGAGCAGATGAGAGGACGATAGAGAAGAGGTCCCAAATAGAACGATGTGCCCATATGGTGATACAAAGATCCCAGGAGTCAGCAATGTGGTGTTTGCATTGTTCCCGGTGTAGAATCACTGGGACTCAAAAGCTGATAAAGAAGGACAACATAGGCTGTTAGTCTTGTTGAAAACATGATCCTCATTAGCAACTGGCTGAATCTTGTGCACTTAGTGTGTCCTTTGGTTAGTGGTGTGCAAAGTAGGCCCTCTCCCTTACTTCAGCTTTTGGTAAAAAAAATGCAATGAAGAAATGTGTCTATCCTCTTTGGTTAGCTGCTATTGATAAACCTGAAAGGATGGGCCTTCTGGATGCAAGTACTTTAAGAAGCAACTATCTCACAAACCACTGTAACTTGTTTTCGTATAAGAGAACAGTTGGTAATACTTGTAATAGTTTAGAGGGGAGGGGGAAGTGTGTACTTTTTCTGTATCTTGTCATCATAAAGTTGAACTTATCTCAAATTCTGAGAAGAAAAACAAGAGGTTTTGCTATTTTATGACGAAATCGGTAATATCATGTATCTTTGGTACTGTCAAAGGCTTCTAACATAACTCAGAAGTCTACAACCTGTAATAGTATGTGCATTGGGGCAGGAGAGATGGTTCAGGTTTTAACATCGTACACCACTCTTACAAAGGACCTTAGTTCACTTCCCAGCACCAACATATGGTGGCCCATTACTGCCTGTAACATCAGCTCCTGGAGACCTAGTGCCCTGTTCTGGACTCCATGAGCACCTTCATTCACAAGTACACACAATTTATCACATACATACACACACACACATACATACATACATACATACATACATACATAAATTAAAATTAAATAAATTAAAGTTTTGTGTATTCCCATTTGGAATTATTAGTGACATCAGTGATGTGGCTCAGCAGGAAAAGACATTTGCCACAGTCCTGGCTAGTTCTATGCCAACTTGACACAAGCTACAGTCTTCTGAAAGGAAGGAACCTCAGTTGAGAAAATGCAGCCATAAGATTCAACTGTAGGGTAGTCTCTTAGTGACTGATGAGGGAGGGGCCAACCCATTGTGGGTGGTGCCATTCCTAGGCTGGTGGTTCTGAGTTCTATAAGAAAGCAGGCTGAGCAAGCATTGAGAACCAAGTCAGTAAGCAGCAACCCCTCCATAGCCTCTGCTTTAGCTCTTGCATCCAGGACCCTGTCCTGTCTGAGTTCCTGTCCTGACTTCTTTCAACGATAGACTACAACGTGGAAGTGTAAGCCAAATAGACCCTTTTCTCCTGAGCTTGCTTTTTGTTTGTGGTGTTTCATCCCAGTGAGAGAAACCCTGACTAGAACAGCCACCAAACATAATGACTTGAGTTTGATTCCCTGGAATCCACTGGCTCCTTCCCACAGGCTGCTGTCCTCCACCAGCACGTGTGCACTATGGCACATATATGACATCTCCCTCCCCCAACTGGAGAGAATTGCTAGAAGTGTCTGTCAGGAGATGTCAGTTTTCCTTTAATCTTCAAGTCCCCATGTTGTAACTCACATAATTCTAATTCAGTCAGTGTGTGTGAAAGCCCCCTGTATTTACTACTGAAGTACCAGGTACTGAGAAAATCCTCCTTATAAAATACATTTTATTTGGAAATAAGGACTCTAAGAAATAGCTTTAAACTATAGAACAGGATCTTAATTTGTTTTGACAATAGTCAAGGGTACTTTCATATACTGCTTCAAAACTGAGAAGAAAAGGAGGAACTCAGACACTGTCAGGAAATATAAGATCAGAGGAAGCACGATCTCAGATCCTTTGAGAAGACAGCTATGCCAGAAAAGACTCAAGAACAAAGATGAGTAACATAATTGGATGAGACCGCTTTAGCCGTAATTGCACATTTATAACAGAGACAGGAGCTTAGCATACATAACACTGAAGCAGTTTCTCCAAAGTGGGTGTCAGAGGCTAGGCTGTCTAATCACAACTATCAAAATAGACATTGGGATAGACTTTAACTGAACCTCTCCCCTGTATACAAAACACGAAACTTATTAAAGTCTACTGGATCAAAAGGGAAACCAAATATATGTTTATCAACCATTAAAAGAAACATAGGAAAGAAAGTGAAAGCAAAATATGATCCCCCTGTCTCAACAAGTAAAACTCACTCTTCTGAAAATTATTATTAGGTCAAAGAAGAAACTAGGTCAAAGTTGCTGGTAGGTAAAAATATAAAGAGTGGAATCCAAACTACAATGACTAGCCTGGAATGTGTTTCTGGTCTTATAAAGATGAAGAAAAGTACACGACCCATGACGTCAACCAAAACAAGTCCAAGGAAAGAAGGAAAACCAAACTTAAATAAATGAGGAAAACAATACAGAATTAAAAATCCAAGAGCTATTTTGCTATTAATCAACAACAACAACAACAAATTCATTTAAGGCAGGAACAAGGACAAGCAACTGGATCTGAAATGTCCAGCAAAAGCTCAGCTGTGGAGGGCATGGTCTCAGCACAGCACAGAGGTAGCACCTTCAAGAGGTGCGTAGATAACAGGGGCACTAACCTAATCAATAAATTATTGCACTTGATAGGTTCACAGTGTAATGACCTTTTGTGAGGTGGTAGAAAATCGGTGAAACCAAGTCATAGTTGGTGAAAACGCCGCCATAGTTAGCAGGACCGAATTACTTGAAGGATATATTTTGCCCTGAGCTCTCTTTCTCCCCATCCATTCCTTTCCTCAAGCACAGCGCACCCCACCCCAGCTTGCCCATTCTTGCTGTCTTTCCTGCATCCTAGCCTACAGAAGGTGAGCAACTTTGTTTCACCATGTGTTCCCTGTCATTATCTCTCTCATGCTCAAGTCACAGACACAATCGAGCCACTTAACCATAGACTGAAACCTCTGAGATTGTGAACCAGCATGAGGCTTTCCGGTCTGAAAATTGTCCCCCTACCCTGGGTATTTTCTCACTGTGAATGAAAGCTGGTTAAGACAGATTTAAATATAATCAAGATAATCATAATACAATAGTGAGAGTCACAGAAAGTACTTAAAACTTTAAGGAAATTCTACCCTAAACTCTATGATAAAGTTTGGTAAAATAAATTAAATGGTATTATATGGGCAAAAAATAAGTTATTTAAAACAGTACAACCCAAATCAAACCTTAAAAAACCATTTCAAAGGAAGGATTTAGAGCCAAGTAATTTACTGATATCTTTTCGTAAGTTGTCAAGGAACAAATCATTCCTATCTATTAAAATCTTTATAGAGGAAAGAAAAAAGTCAGGTTTTAAGTCTGAAATTAAAACCTAACAAAAATCTACCAAAAAAGATGAAACATACAGCATCAAATGTAGGTCTTCAAAGAGCTACAAAATTCAATTTAGTAAAAGTTTTAACTACAGGTTAGTAGGATATTCTCAAGTATATGATTTAATGACAAAAATATTAATATAACACATCTGTAGCATTGGATAACAAGATGCAGAAAGAGTATTTATCTGGTAGATGATATCACGGCATTTGTTGAAGTTTGTCTCCTACACTAAATTTTAAAATCTCTCTTGATTAATGCAAACAAAGATGTATTTTCTTTACATAAAAGGAGCTTTCCATGACCATTTCACCAACAGCTAAAAGCATATTTAAAAACAATTTAAGTAAAAATTACTACACGTGTTGTTATCAAAGTACATATTTATCTACTAGCTTGATATTATCTAACATTGTCCTGAATTCTAGGTTTCATTCATTAGAAAACACAGGTAGATATTTAGTTGTTTAAAAAAAAAAAAGAAGGAATATTCCTGTTTGCAACTAATTACAATGAAATGAA